GACTTACAAAAAGAAATCTAATACAAATTCTACCCTTTAACTACATCCCTGTCCTCACTTTTTTTTAACTTTTTGTTCTTTCCATCCATATCTTTTTATACTATCAAAAATTATTATAGTTATTTATGATAGGTTTGTCTTTTAATCTTCCTACTCAAGATATAAGTGGTTTATACACCACGATTACAGTAATAGAGTATTCTGTATTTGTGTACTTACTATTCCCAGTGAGTTATATACCATCAGATGATTTCTTATTGTTCATTAATGTCCTTTTCTTTCAGATTGAGGAACTCCTTGTAGCAATTCTCTTAGGACAGGCCCGATGTTGATGAAATCCCTCAGCTTTTGGTTGTCTGTGAAAATATTTCTCCTTCATGTTTGAAGGATATATTTGCAAGATATAATATTCTAGAGTTAAAGTTTTTCATTTTTTTTTTTTGCTTCAGCACTTTGAATATGTCAGGCCACTCTTTCCTGGCCTGTAAAGTTTTCACTGAGAAGTCTGCTGCCGGGCATATTGGAGCTGTTATTTTTTTTCTTTTTCTTTTCTTTTTTTTTTTTTTGCTTCCTTTAGGACCTTTTCTTTTTTTTTTAACCTATGACCTTTGGGAGCTTATTAAATGCCTTGAGACAGCTGTGTTTGGAATAAATTTACTTGGTGTTCTATGACCTTCTTACACCTGAATGTTGATATCTTTCTCTAGGTTTGGAAAATTCTCTGTTGTTATTTCTTTGAATAACATTTCTACCCCAATATCTTTCTCTACCTCCTCTTTAAGGACAATAATTCTTAGATTTTTTCATTTGAAGCTATATTCTAGATTTTGTAGGCATGCTTTGTTATTTTTCATTCCTTTTTGTTTTTCTCTTCTGTGTATTTTCAAATAGCCTGTCTTCAAGCTCATTAATTCTTTCTTTTGCTTGGTCAATTCTGCTGTTGAGAGAATTTGTCAATTGAATTTGTCAATTGAATTATTCAGCTCCAGAATTTCTGTTTTTTATATTTCAATCTCTTTGTTAAATTTATCTCATAGCCTTCTGAATCTCTTCCTTGTACTATCTCAAAGTTCATTGAGCTTCTTCAGAATAGTGATTTAAAAATCTTTGTCTAAAAAGTTACATAACTCCATTGCTCTGGGATTGGTCACTAGCACCTTATTCTGTTAGTTTGGCAAAGTCATGTTTTCCTGGGTGTTCTTGTTGGTTGCAGATGTTCATCAATGTCTTGGTATTGAAGAGTTAGGTATTTATTTTAATCTTAACAGTCTGAACTTGTTTCAACCCATACTTCTTGAAAAAGCTTTTCAGATATTCAAAAGGAATTAAATGTTGTGATCTAAAACTTTGGTCACTGCTGCTGTTATCAGAATGGGGTGCTCCAAGCCCACTAACACTATGACTTTTGCAAACTCCTGGTGGTTCTGCCTTGCTAGATTTGGGTCAGATATGGGAGAATTCTCTGATTACCAGACAAATTCTTTCACTCTTTTCCCTCACTCTCTGTGCTGGGCTGTTGGAGTTGGGGGAGGAGTGATGTGGGCACTTCCTAATGGCCACCAGCACCAGGTCACACCTGAAGCCAGCCCAGTCTCAAACAAAGCCTATGGTGACTTGGCTATGGTTTCTTGGCTACCTCTGATATTTATTCAAAGCCCAAAGGCTCTTTGGTCAGCAAGTGGCAAATCCTGCCCAGACTGGGTCCTTTTCTTCAGGGCAGCATGTTTCCTTATGATCCAGGGTAGGTCCAGAAATACCTTCCAGGAACTGGATTTAGGGGCTTCAGAAGTCTGCTTCATATTTTACTTTAACCTGGTACTCAAGTTGCAAAACAAAGTCCTCTGATCTTTCCCCTTTTCTTTCCTCAAGTGGAAGAAGACTCCCTTAGCCACAAAGCCTGTAGTTAGAAGGGTGACTTGTGCACTGGCTTGGCTACCACTGCTGGTGTCTCACTGAGTCATGAGCACCCTAACTCTACTGGCTCTAGGCCAGCATAACTGCAGGAATTGCCCAAGGTCTACAGCTTTTGTTGCCTGACTGCCTGACAAATTTAGTCCAGGCCCCAGGCTGCTCTTTGTCAGCCAGTGGAGAGGTTAGTTGGAACTTGGGGTAGGGGGGTAGAGGATTTTCCTCTAGCTAGGCTGGTCTTCCTCTCTGAGTGCCAGCAGAATTCTGTCCTATGTTATGTTCCCTGTGACAGAGTGGTCCTGAGTTTCAGTGCAAAGTCCCATAATCACTTCATTCTCCTTCCCCCAGGTACATAGATCCTCTCTTTCCTTAGCACTGCTCGGGCATGGGGAAAGGGTGGCATAAGCAATGCAAGATTATATTTTCTGCCCTCTTTAGTGACTCTTTCATAGATATAATGTGAAAACCAGGTAGTATGATTGCTCACCTGATTTTTGGTTCTTCTGAAGGTGAGTACTTACATGAATAGTTGTTGAATTTGGTGTTCATGTGGTGGGATAGTTGCTGAAAGTTTCTATTTGGCTATCTTGCTCCATTCCCTTGACACTACACCTGTAATTTTCTCTGAGACATGATAAACTTTCCATTACTATAGTGTTGCCTTCAGTTACAATGTTTTTGTCTGATGTTCTGAAGCATTTTAGAAGGAGCATGTAATAACGTTCATTTTTTTTCTATTATGGTAAACCTTTGTAGAAAAATGATTTCAAAATTTTTAGCCTGTTTTTACAATTTTTTTCTTTATGAACAATTTTTGGATCTAAATTTTATGAGTACTGTATTCCATCTGACTTGTAGAAATGGGATTGCCATGTTATAAGGCTGATAGTGAAACAATAAAAAGAAATATCAGGCAATAGGACATATATAGCATTAAATCTTTGATGACTGAAAATCTGCTAGCTAATGTCATGAGAAATAATATACTGTAAGTATTTGAAATGTATTATTGAGATATATATTAGTCAGGGACATGTATACTATTTTCATGGTTTTTGCAGTTGACTGTGTCAGGGTGGAAGAGAAAGCAGCACCTGGAAAGATGAGCTCAGATTTTACAGTAACTTCGTGAAATTAGAAAAATGATTAGAAACTACCTAAATTAAGTCAAATTAGGACAAGTCCTGGGTACATATGCAATAAAATTGTGAAAAGTGTTATCTTATATGTCAATTGCAGTAGATTCAGTACACCATTATCAAAAGAAGCCCTATAATTTAAAAAGAATATTCAGCAAGTATTTTATCATTACTCCCCAACCTGTTTTTGAATAAATTTTACAGTGACATTAAAGACTGTTGATATATTTTTAGCTTACTTTAATGATGAGGAAGCAGGAGGAATAGGGGTGGGGGACAATTTTTTGAATTAGATAATAGAACAGCAGGAACAGTTTAGCAATTATTTACTAAAATAAAAGTGTAGATTAGTCTTAACTTGGTGCTAGCAATGATGATTACCAATGAAATAACTAACCCTAAATAATTTCTGTACTGTTTGTACATTTACTATATGAGTTTTACAGTAACAGTAGACCATGTGACACAACTGGCCTTTCCAGGACTTCAGGTAGCAAATTCACAGTCAAATCTTTTTGTTCCCTCTGTCTAAAAATGTGATAGATTTTCTTTCCTTCCCTCTTGGTAAGTTTCACCCTCGTTTCCCTCTCTCTCTCTCTCCCTCTGTGTGTGTGTATGTGTGTGTGTGTGTATGAACACACCCACTGATGAGGAATTTATTATTTATCATATTCATACAGTTGGAGTTATTTATGTTATTCCTGGAGCTCTTAACCAAAAACACACATTAAGCTATATTAATAAATGCAAATGTTTGCATCCTCCTGCAACACCTTGAGGGTGACATTTTATTCTGATAATGACAAAATGCTGGACCTTATTTTTAAATTCTCCAGATATAATAGAGCTTTTTCTACATTGGATGATTTCTGGTCATCCAGAAATCAGTTGGCATTTTTGACTATAAGTATAGATTCTACATCTCAGAGAGATTTGGAAGTCCCTTACTCTTTACCTTGGGAAATGCATGATAATTGATACTTTGAACACTTTACATGCCCTGGTTATTCTAATCTCAAAGAATGCCCATTTTCAAATTGTAAATAAGTTTCTTTCTACACATAAATATTTCAAAACATAAAGTACAACAGATCAAGACTTATTTTTATTTATTATTATTCATACTTTAACTTCTTCTCTTGGAATTGAGTATACAAAACTCACAAACAATAAAGTCTCTTTATATAAATAACAGTTTAAAGGATAAAAAGATATTTAAAATTTTCTAGGTTGGGATTATTTTAAAAGTTATGTCACGGAAAATTGCCTGAAAAATATCCCCTGTAGCTTCTAAAGGAGAAGTCCTGGATTGTAAATATGGTGCCCATGCAAACATGACCCACTTCCATTTGCTTATTATATAAAGACATTTCATTTTTTACAATTTCCAAGTACCAATTTTGTGAAAATCTTCCATATTTAATCTCACATAACATCTATTCAAGATTTAATACCCAACACATATAACTAGCGCAGTATCAAGGATTTTCGACATACTCCTCCTTACAGTTTGAAAACACAAGAAAAATGTCCTCTCATCTAACTTCATGTCTACAGGAAGCAAGGATGTCATTAAAGAAACAACTACCTATTTTCCAGTAAACTGGGGAAGGAAATGGAGGTACCAGCTAGCCTTCACTTCTGTTTCTACTTCCATTTTAGTCTGATAAAAATAAGATCCATATTAAAATTATACCAATAAGGAGAAATAGGAGTATGGAATTTGGGGCATCCAGTCTGTATGGGTATAAATTTTGGTCCAAAAAAATTAGAATACAAGAAATTTGATATTTCCTTTTTCGAACATCATATTTAATCTGTTTTAGCTTCTGGTGTCCAGATCTATAGATGAAGCAATCCTGGTCTTATCTGAAACCAGATATACTGGGTGATGGGTGGGTTGCATCCTAAGCCAAGATTTCATTTATTTTTGTTTTCTTTTACTTGCTCCAGTAGGAAAATCAGGTCTTGGGAGATTCAGAGGTGCCCTTCCAACACCACATGCATCTCCCTGAGTCCAGCTCAGCCCTTAGAGAGATCTTCTGCTCCTCTCCAGCTCTGGGCAAAGCTTCTAGCCTTCAAAGGTGTAAACCTTTCAGAATAATGCACCATACAGTACCCTGGATGCACAGGTGAGCCAAGGTCCCGAAAGCTGAAGGAAAGGCCCTCAGCCCAAAACATTAATCTCTTTTCCAGTTGACTTACTTCTATTTCTCTCAGTAGGTAAACTTATTTCCACCAGCAAAAGTCAGGATGTGTCTTTTCCCTTAGTTTTTGAATACTTTTGCTTTTTGCTTTTAACATATCTACTTCCTCAAAGAAAGTAGTTCAGAATTTAGAATATAAAGCTGATTTATCTTCTTGGGATAAGGTTAAAAAAAAAAAAAAAAGACCTGTAGCAATGATACAAAGGGATATCTATCTGCCTATTTTCAGGTTATTATCCTGGTAGTATTTAATGACTTGTTCATTTGTTAAACATGGACAGACTGTCTTCCACATGATGCTAAGAGCTGATGATTCAGTAATGAATAAGAATTTTCACAGGACTTATAGTCGTGAAGCAGACATCTATAGTGAAATATTGACAATTGCACAAACAGCTCCTGGGTTCTGCGAGAGCAGGCAGCACCTGCTTTGTACCTATTCTCACGGTTTAATTCCCAAACCTGAAAACTGGCAAGAAACAATAAGGACAGATATTTTGTTTGATTACTTTGTAAAAATGAATGATTCTCTTCACTTTTTACCCAAAATATCAACTTTTAAAATTTGTTTGTAGAGGAAGCCATGTTAGGTCTCATTTTGCTACTGATTCAACCAATTTCAACTAATTTTGTTACTGATCCCATTAGAATTGTGTAAAATATTCTATTTTTTAAAAAAATAGATGCAAGTTTAGTTGAAATTCCCAGAAAACAATTATAATTAGGATGGCCACTTATTAGACTTCAGATGCTACATATTATCATTTATTTTTTACTTTGTCCAGTAATTTTATGAGATAAAAGAAAAAATGTTCTTACAGACCTTGATTAGTTTCAAATTCTGTAAAAAGATATTAAATATAAGTACTTTTGAATTTAGCTTATTAGTATTTTATCTAAGCTAAGTTCAGAAAATGCTTTCAAACATCTTATTTAATTTCTGCTCAAAGACTCCTATAGTATCAAAAGTATTGCATTGAAGAAAAAGAGAATATTGTAGTTTGTTTTGGTCTTCAAACATAATGATTGATAATGTACTTTAAATAAATCTATCTGGTAATTCATCTTTGTAATAATTGCTTATCTAATGATGATAATTGAGAACTCTAAGTTTTGTTTGCTGCAAGGTGATTTACCAATACTTTTTCTATAATCTAGACATCAAATCACCAATAAGCATTCAGAGAGCTCCTACTGGGTGCAGCATCTCTCTTGAACTGAGAATAGAGAAAGAAGCAGACGTATTTGAATATGCTCAATGGATTAAAGAATGACAGGGTTTATATTGATGAAAGAATGAGAGAGGATTTATACTTCATTCCAGGTCAAGCCAGAAAGATGACAATGGATGTTATAGGATTTTTGTTATTACTTTGGGAGGAAAACTATTGATGGTGTTAATGTCCAATGAAATGAGGCTGGATCTGGAAGAATTTGGTAAGTAGGTAAGATTTTTCAGGCTTAGATTACTGAGGTTTTGAATCAAAGCTACTTTTTTTTACCAAGACTTTGCTTAATGGTTGAAAGATTTTAGGCCAGTTCTGTCACATAAAGGTCTTAGCTTGATAAAAAGTGAAATCATAGCTTCATATTAATAAATTAACGACATTGAACAGTTTCCACATCTGCAACTATGCTGTGAGGAATGCAATGACAGATTCTGTGCTGTGTTTGCCTATGAGATGATTTCCTTGAAGTCCCATAATGAGTTGTTTTTGGCAGGATTAATGAGTATTATAATGGTAAATGGATGTTTGCAGCTCAGTTGTGTTCCATCACGGAGTAACATGGGGTTTCTGGTCCCTTGGAGGCCATAATTGGTGGCATTAATGCACTTTTTAATTACACTTCTTGAAAAAAAAATGAATTGGAACCAAAACAAAAGCTAAGTGATCATCTCTCTGCTGTTTCACATGCTATAAACAGAAGACTGTTGCTATCTCTGATATCTATAATTTGAATCCTACTGTCTAAAGAGAACATATGCAGTGGATTTGATGATATTTGTTTAGAAACTGCATATTTGCATTTGCTTTTACCCATTGTTATATACAGAAATATACTTTTATTATATACATATATAATATAGTTCTATACTGGAACAAGAAATGGGCACATAATATAAAGTTATATGTATTACAAATGTAGGTTAAGGTAAATAGAAAATAATAGACTCATGTCTTATATTTAGACCCTTCATTTGTTTCTTAATCCTGTTAGTGTTGAGCGATATTAGTGTAATTAATTCTCAAAGCTCTATGAATGAACTAGAATTCACTAAGCCATTTTTCTTTTTCTCCTTTCACATGTATATGCGAGGAATTACTAATAGCTGCTGCTTCAGCAAATCCTCTCTTTGGAATATTATGTTTGTTTGTGGTTTGTAGTGGCAATCCCAGCATTGATCTAGAGGATGACATTTGAAAAGTGTACTGTGGAAAGGTAAAATATCTCACAAAATGATATCATATAAATATATAAAGAGCAAAAATAATGTGAATTTTAAAAATCCATATTATTAGCTATTTGTTTATAATCTACTTATAAGTTGCCTAAACTGCATTGGTTATCTATACATTTCATTCTAGCAATAATATACTTATTATTTAACTTTTCTGTATTTTTAAATAAATCACAGGGCAAAACATTAGCCTGTGTGGTTAATTAAATTGTTACGGTGATACATGTGCACTTGAGGTAACTATGTTACCACTTTTATGTTCTTGCTAAAACAAGTGACTGTGGAGGTGATTCTTTATTTGTGATAGTCTTTTATAAAGATGTTCTTGATATTTGGGTGATTCTAAAGTAACAGTACGTGGGGCAGAAATGCATTTAGATTAGTGGCAAGCAATTATATCTATGAAAAACATGAAAAAACATGCAAAAAATTAGATGCCATGGAATTGCTCCTACATTGACATCTAAGTTTTTCTAAGACTTAGACAACCTCACATCTTGGAATTGCCAGCTTTTCTGAAAAGAAAGCTACCTTTCTCAACAATGTGTCTTTGATGCTTACTGTGTGTGGCATTTTCACTTTTGCCATCAGGTAAAATTCTTCACTGATAGGCTCAAATGTCTGGTTCCAGGGCTTTCTGCAGTGCTGTAATAGAGTTTCATTTTCTCTTTGTGAGGAAGCCAAAAAATAAAATAAATACAAATAAAAAGCAGAGAAGCAGACAAACAAACAAACAAACAAACACACAAACAAAATCTCTCCCTGGTATTTATAATAGGGATTTCAGACTTTAGGAAGTGTTGGAGAAGTCTTCAATGTATACACATTTTTAATATTGACTACCAGAGAGCAGAGAATAGGGACCCAGCCCTGGTTTTATGTGGCTCCATTCTCTTTGTGTTCTTGATGATTGAGTGTGCTGAAGTTGCTTTGTGTTTTCTTTAGAAGAGTAATGATAGTGATTAATTCAGTTGGTGGATCATTGTCCCATCCCTATCACTTTAGTAGTTTCCACAAAATGTCTTAAAATATCTTGACAGCATTTATATCTGTAAGAATTCTGTGTGCTTTTGCATATTATCATTCTATCTATATCTGATGCTGATCTTGTCAGCCATGCCATCTAAAAATGCCAAAAAATACACCAAAATGCGTATCAAAACTGAATTTTTAAGTAGATGTTTAATAACAAATATATATGTATCTATACTTAGAGTAAGAGACATACACATGTATATAAATATAATTTTAAAATTCAACCAAGAGTATATTAGCAATAATCATTTTGCCATCATTAATTTGTTGTGATTGTTTTTAGTGATTTAATGTAAATTACATAGAATAACCTTTCAGTTTCATAATAACAATAACAATAAGAAATGATTATTGCTAGCTTTTCTTGAGTTTACTCTGTGCCAAGCACTTTGACATTTACTTTTTCCTCGCCCAGTCCTTTAGGGGTGAATACTGGTATTTTTTTCTTGTTATGGATTTTTTTTCTTTTTTTTTTCTTTTTTTGAGACAGAGTCTCTCTCTGTCACCTGGAGCTAGAGTGCTGTGGTGTCAGCCTAGCTCACAGAAACCTCAAACTTCTTGGCTCAAACGATCCTCCCGCCTCAGCCTCCTGAGTAACTGGGACTATAGGTGTGTGCCACCATGCCCAGCTATTTTTTTCTATTTTTTGAAGAGATGGGTCTCACTCATACTTAGGCTAGTCTTGAACTCCTGACCTCAAATGATCCTCCCACCTCAGCCTCTCAGAGTGCTAGGATTACAGGTGAGAGCCTCCATGCCTGGCTCATGTTATGGGTTTTGTAAACCCTGAAGTTTAGACAAATTGGCCTATTTCCCCAAGGTCACACCTGCCTTAGTAGAGCTGGGACAGAAGCCCACATCTCTATGAATCCAGTCTGGTCACATTTAACCTCTACAATGCCCCTGGGGAGGGATAGAAATCATAACAAAACTACAACAAACTTTGAAAATATTTTTAGCAGTATCATTCAGTTATGTAAATTAAGTGAATTAATAGGATCTTAAAAATCTTATTGCTTAAGAAGATCTTGGTGATTACTTAACACACAGAGTTCACTTTAGAAGTGAAGAAATGAATTCTCATTGAGTTGAAATGGAGTGAGAAGCCAGAACACAGCTGCTGCCATCCTTCCTGTGGCTCAGCACATTGATGCATGTGTCAGGCCCATACCCTTATGTGGAGACCTGGATAATGTTTGCTTCTGAAGGCCACTGTGTGTAGGGCTGGGTACTGATGAGTGTTAGACTTGGAAGCTGGGCAAATCTAGAGTCTAAATTTAGCCGTCCTACTCATTAGCTGCTTGACTGTGAGTAAACTGATTAATAGCCTTTGTGCTTCAGTTTATTTACCTATAAAATCATGATAATATTATTCCTCATAAGGTTGTTGTAAAAGTTAAATAATACATTTGATGTATATACAATAAGCATTCAATTAATGTGTACATTATTTTTATTAAGCATAAGTGCAACTTTCCTTTGGAACAGGTATTATACAGTAGTTATCATGGTGCAGTTTCCTCTTATTTTTAAAAGACACTCTTAAACTGATTGAAAATAAGATTTCAGAATATTATGGAGGTACAAATGTTTTGGTTACGTGCATGGATTGCTTTTGTACTGCTTGAGTAAAAGTGTGCCTATCACCCAGATAGTGTACATTGTACCCATTAGGTATGATTTCACCCATCTTCTCCTCTCCCCTCCCACTTTCATGATTTCTGAAAATCACAATCCCAAAAGATTAAAATACCAAATTTTGAATCCTGGAAGCTGAATTCTAGGGAAGGGATTAGTACACTTTTAGTTGAACTCAGGATAGTTACATCATGTCAGTTGTATCAATTTAGATGGAACTATTACCTTGTTATTGTCTTTACTTGGAAATTATTTATGGTTTAAGGAGATGTATATGGGTGCCAAATTGGCAAGGGGTGGACTTGTGAACTTAGTTTTAGGTTGCAACTTGACTGGATTAAGGAATATTTATAAAGCATTGTTTTAGGTATGTCTGTTAGGCTGTTTCCAGAAGAGGTCAATGTAGAAATCTGAGTGGAGTAGGTGGGGAAGAGCTGCCCTAAATGTGGGCAGGTACTATCCAATCGGCCAGGCCCTGGAGAAAGCAAATACTGACGGCAAATTGGTCTCACTCTCAGAGCCGAGACAGATTTTTTCTTCTGTTGCCTTGGACATAAGAAATTTGACTCCACACAAATTTGACTCTGCACAAAAGTGCATTATCACAACATTGACTTGTATGTAATAATTGTACCTGTATGTAAAAATATTGAAACGTCTTCAATTAGTGGAGACATGTGCTTTTGGTATATCTACATTTATGAAAAATAAAAAATTCTCAAGATCTCAGCTCTTTGGGCAACTACATTTATGGTGGTGACCCGTTGAGGTTTTTGATCAATCTCTTCAAAAAGATTATTCATCATGGTATTTCAGATGACTGCAGTTATTAAGCTGGGTGCATAAAATTACCAACCATGGTGATACGCATTTATACATTTCCCTTTTTGACCTAGTTCTTTATGAATATGGTTCATCTGCTAATAACTGTTCTAGATGTTATTCTGCTACTGTCATTAGTATAACTGAGTGTTTATGCCTGCAAAAATATGTATGTTATTATTGCCTACTTTATTGTGTAAATTGGCCTATGATACATTCTGTCATGTTTTTGTTTCTCAAATAAATCCCCTTTTAAAAAGTAAAAAAAATAAAAAATAAAGAAAATGAAATTGAAATCACTTCTGTGTCAACTAACTTGATTATACTACTACAAACAGTGAAGTTATAAAATTCAAACTTTGGGCATTTTTAACATCAGCTGCATGGTCCTCAAATGTCTCAGTATTTTAATGAAGCCTGTGTCTGCTTTGCTGTCAGATGTTGCTTTTGAAAATATTTTAATTGATAGTGAATTTTCAAA